GGCGGCGCTGTCTTCCCAGAGCCCAGCACACACCGGCTCCAATCTCCGATCAGCTGGCGGCGTCGTGACGCACAAGCTGCGATTGCACCGCCCAGGGCCAATCACCGCCCACTGCTGGGCAGCGTGACCACACCCACTCGGGGGCGCCAGCACTTCGCGCTGGTCCCGCCTCAACAGCCGTCTCAGCTCTGATTGGCAAGGAGGCCACCCCTTTGCCTAGTGGCGTTGCGCTAAGCTACGCCCACCAACTCACGAGCTGGCCAATAGGCGAAAGGGTGTGGCTCAGCCCTCCGCCTAGGCTACTTGCTTTGAAGAGCGCTACGTCAAACTAGGCTCCTAAAGAGCAGAAGGAAGTTAAGGCGTGTGTGTTTGCAGTGCATACTGGTCAATGTAGTTCCCGGTCTGGCACCTTGTTCCCAGAATCCAGCGCGCTCTGTGAGTTGGCATTTTTAAACTCGTCTCTGAATCCATCCCGGCGAAGTCCTTAAAGGGCTACAGCCCCTCCTTTTTGGAGCCGTGAGTGCTTCTTTTAGACAACCCCTAAACGGATTCGCTGACCTCTGCAAGAGGCGATAACTCTCCAAGGAAAGACGCAGCAGCAGGAGTGGGCCGAAGTGAAGGCGGAAATCAGCCCCCAGGGCAGCACTGTTCCATTGGATGAGGACTCCTGAGGGCTTTTGGGAGGAGGGAGGACTGCCCACTTCGCCTAGCCCAAGCTTTCACTGGAGAGATCTAGTCCACCCCTCCTGGGGGGCCCCTCCTAACCAGACTTTTCATGTAGATGTCTCCTCCCAGTCGCTGAGAGACAGCGTCTCAAGCAGCAGCTTCCTACCAAAAGATTCATAGCACAGTCCTCACCTGAGGGTAGAAGGAAGACTTGTGGTCGGAAACTAGGGGATGGGCCATACCAAAGTGCAACTAGTGAGCAACCCCATCCTATGTCTAATATCCCCATTCAGTCCCACCCTCCAGAAGCTTTTTACTGACTCAGGCCTACTTAGGGAAGAGATTTCAAAGGTGGAGACCAATGAGGAGGCTGCTCCTTCCCCAGGGGCCAATCAGAGCCTAGAGGGGCGGGGGATGCGCAAAAACTGAAAGGAACCCAATGACTTGGCAAAAGCTGCTGAACCTCTTATTTAAAGGGGCAAGTCTGGGACCCACCCCAACTCATCACTTGCGCCCCCCTCCCACCACCACCAAAGAGAAACGTGGGGACAGGGATCCATGAGTTTTCCATAAGCTCCCAACTGCGGGTGAGGGTAACTGAGCCCCGAAGGATGAGCCTGGAGTGTGAGCGAGTTCCTTCTGTATTAAAAACGGACTCCACCAAATGATTGCTGTAGTTCCTAGGAGCTCCAGAATTCTGAGCCTGCGTTCAGAACATTGTGCCTTTAAGGAAACTTCCTGCCTTCCACCCCAGTAAAGCTGATTGTTGGAAAGTGTGACCTCAGGGGACGAATCAGCTGTTACCACATCCTCCTCCTGGCCTGCCCTCCTCCATCCCCTTATCCCCCGCTCCATGGGTGGTGAGGGAAGGAAGGAGATGGAACCCCAAATATGACGGAACAGCTTCTATGTTCTTTCCTCTTTCCTCTCACTGCAAGACCCCCTCCACCCCCCATCTGCTAGTTAGTTCTTCAGAGGTTCTGAGCTTGGAATGAGAGGTATTTCCTGTTGGCTCAGTCAGTTCAGACCCGCCCTCCTTCTTCTAGTAGGGAGGCCAATATTGGGGAGGCCCAGAATGGTGGCTGGCTGGGTGTGTGGGTGCCCCAGGAATGGGTACTGGGGAAGGTCCAGTAAAGCTGTGGACCAAGCCTTGAGGAGAAGAATGGCTGTGGAAAGCAAGCCTCCTCAGGGTCAGAACCCTGTTCCTCAGGCTGGCTGCCCCCTACTCCCTGCTCAGGTTGCCCTGTTCCTCCCTAGACAGGGGCCTGCTAAGGGGATCCTCCTAGCTTTCCCCATTCACTCCACTTCTAACTGCTCTTAGACACCACCCACCCGTGGCTGCTCCAGTTTTTACACTCTCAACCTCCACAGCAAGAGTGCTAATGTGGAGCTTCCCAGGGGCTGCAGGTGGAGCACACTGGCCCAGGAACCAGGGGCTCTGACTGGGAAGTCCTGCCGGAAGACCCAGGTAAATATTTTGCCCCAGCCCTGAGCTGGGAGTCAGGGTCACTCCAGGACAAGCTTAGTGTGAAGTCCCAGGACTAACTTGGCAAGGTCGGGAGAAATTGAGCAGGGTCTTGGCCAAGCTTGGAAGAAAGAGAAATCTCACCAACTGACCCCATTCTCCATTATCCTTAGCATAGAAGTCCCATCCCCTTCCCTCCCAAGGCGCTTGTCTATTTTCTTCTGCTAACTCTCTGTCTCCTCACCCTTCCACCCTATAGGGCGTCCACGATTTCTGAACCTCAGCACTATTGACATTTTGGGCTGGATAATTGCTTGTCGTGGGGGCTGTCTTGTACATAGTAGTATGTTTAACAGCATCCCTGGCCCACTAGATGTCATTAGCAACATGCCCCCCCTCCCGGTTACAACAACCCAAAGTGTCTCCAGACATTACCAAATGTTCCCTGGGGGCCAAAATCGCCCCCAGTTGAGAACTACTAAGTTACACAAACTTGGATTCAAATTCCAGCTCTTACCAGCTGTGAGCTTGAGGAAGATACTTAACATCTCTCAACCTCAATTTCCTCATCTACAAAATACAGTGAATAATAAATTCATGGTTTATTGTAGGGGATTAAAAAAGGATTATGTTTGAAAACACCTAGCAGAGTGCCTGGCCCACTGGCCCACAGTTAGTGCACTAAACGTTCGTTAGCTGCCTTCACTTTTCTCCCTGCCAGATCAGCAAGAGCTAACCTCACTCAGCATGGGCTGAGTGCCGGGGCAGCTGCAGCCTCCCTCCCTCCCTATCTGAGCCATGGCCTCCAGGAAACTCAATATTGAGGTTAGTGAAGAGGAGTGGCTAATTTAGTCCCCGATTGCCCAAAGCCCAAGGGTCCTTGAGTTGGGATTCAGGGGGAACTTGGGAATAGTGCTGTGACAGAGCATTATATCTCAAGATGCGGCCTCCAGATTGCCTGCCATCAGAATTACCTGGGGTGCCTGTTAAAAATTCAGATTCCTGGGTCTTACCCCAGACTACTGAATCAGAAGTATAACATAAAGTTTTAAAACCACTGTTTTAGGGCTCAGACTGGAGAAGATTGTCAGTGCCCTAGAAATCTTAGTGCACCAGTGCCCAGCACTGCAAGGACATCCCTATTCAAGGGAAGGAAAGAATTTTAAGACGTAAGGTTAGTTCCACTCAAGGTCACTGTTGCATTGCAAACCAAAACCACTAGAGGGCAGGCTACACATAGTCTTGTAGAAAGAAAAAGTGGTGCCTGCTCAGTCCAGGGAAATTGAGACCAGAGCAAAGACCAGGTGGACCCAATTTTATTAGTACTGAGAAGCAGGCACTGTCTCCTGACCATCAAAACTCGTCCTCTGGTCTCGATACTCAAAGTTGGGGACAATATTGTCAAGGAACACCTCATTTCCCAGGTGAAAAAACAATAGTGCATGGCTAAGGAGTACAGAGAACACTGGTTTTAGAATGAGCTAGGCCTGGGTTTGAATCCTGGCCCTACCACTTCTTAGCTATGTGACCTTGGGCAAGTCACCTAAGGCAGTCAGCCTTCTCATCTTAAAATGGGTATAAAAATATCTTCTTAAAAAGGGTTGTGGTGAGGATTTAACAAAACAAGGTATGGGAAGCGCTTAGCACAGTGCCTGGCTCCTGATTGGTGCTCTATAAATGGTGGTTCTAAGTTATTACTGCCCAGGATTGTGTGACCAAGCACATTAGGGACTCCTGCTGCCCCTTTAAGAAAGAGGATACAGTTGGAGTCAGATCATGGCTGAGCCATTCCTGTCTCCTCTCTAATTAGGTCTTTAGTTTTTCTTAAGTGCCTTTATGGAAACCCCACACCTCAACACCAAACTCAAGGTAAACTCCCCTTCTAGGAGTGAGACTCAAAAAAAACAGCCAGTGGTTTCACTGCAGACAATGGCCTATCTGTCCTGCAAATGAGTCAGAAATGAGACCCCTTGAAGGAGGCATGTAGTTTCGATGCCAGCTCTCTGGTTTCTGCTCCCTATGCCTTGCTGTGCCCTCCCCCCAGCCACGGTGGCATCTGCAAGGCTCTGACCACAGCAGGCAGGCTCTGTGGCACGGCAGAGACAGACCTTCAACAAGAAGTCTTGGGGAACACTTCCTCCGAAGAACTCCAGGCCTCTGCGCCTGGGCCACTTCTCTCCCTCAGGTGGCCCAGAATGGAAAAAAAAAAATCGGTAAGAGGCCTGTCAGTGCGGAAGATTCCAGGGCAGAAAGTCTGTGCACCAGCCTCTAAGTGTCCATTCTCCCACTTGGACGAGCCTCTTTGGCGGCTCTTGGTTATCACCTGTAGAATATAAACAATAATAACAGTCCTTCCTACCTCTCAGAGTGTTGTGAGAGCCAAATGGAATGTTACGGATATAGTGTTTTGAAAAATTAAAAGCTCCTTCTTTTGGAAGGCAGCATGGAGGCGCTGAAGGGACTTGATGTCAAAAGTGCCAGCTCTGCCTCCGGTTTCTTATCTGTAAAACCAGAGGCGGTGTTGGGGGGCGAGAATCACCCCGCTAAAGGCTGGGATCTCTGGGAAGAGCCTCCCTAGAGGCGCGTTCTGGCGCGCGCAGGAGGAAGCAGGGAGGGGAGGGGAAATTTCGTGGGCAGTTCAGCATCCCCCTCTCCAGCACCAGCCGGACCAGCTGGAGCCCCTTCCAGCTCTGGAGGAAGCGACACCGCCACCAGGCCACAGCAGAGCGCTGGGAGGGAGGACGCCGAGGCCTGCAGCGCGGCCGGCGGGAGGCGGGGTCTGGCCGGCCCATTTGAGCCACGTGCGGTTGTTTCCGTGTCGGGGCGATCACGTGACGCGTGTCAGCTGACCCGTCACGGTGGAGCCGGGCGCTGGCGCCTCGCAGCCCCCGCCCCGCCGCGCCCGGAGCGCAGGACCCTGTGGAGGGGTAAGAGCGCTCCCTCCCCTCCCTGTCACCGGCCCACTCCCGCCGCCTCCGCCGCAGCTCCTGTCCTTCGTCCATCCCTGCCCGCCCGGCCTGGCTCCCCGGAAGCCGTCGCGAGCAGGGCTGTGGCCGGGCTCAGCCCCGCGCTGCCCCCAGGCGGCCATAAGGGGATGGCCCTGGGGAGCAGGGGGCGGGAAGTCGCTCTTACCACCCGGGCTGAGGTCTGGTTCCCGCCCCCAAGCCCCGACATGGAGGAGCTGCTCCAGAGCGTGGAGAGGGACCTGAACATCGATGCCCGGCAGCTGGCTCCGGCCACGGGGGGCACCCACGTGGTGGCCCTAGTGCCCGCGCGCTGGCTGGGTAGCCTCCGCGAGCGCCGGCTGCCCCCGGGACCCTGCCCCAGAGCAGAGGGCCTGAGCGAAGCGGAAGTCAGAACTCTCCTGCAACGCTCCGTGCAGAGGCTGCCCCCCGGCTGGACGCGCGTGGAGGTGCACGGGCTGCGGAAACGGAGGCTGTCCTACCCGCTGGGCGGCGGCCTACCCTTTGAGGAGGGGTCCTGCACTCCTGAGACCCTCACTCGCTTCATGCGGGATGTGGCTGCTCAGAATTATCGCAACCTGTGGCGCCATGCATATCATACTTATGCGCAGCCTTATAGTCATAGCCCTGCCCGCTCAGCTGTCTCTGCCCTGGACTCAGTACGGCAGGCTCTGCAGAGGGTCTATGGTTGCTCCTTCCTGCCAGTGGGTGAAGCTACCCAATGTCCATCATATGCCAGCGACGGCCCCTGTCCACCTTGGGGCAGCCCTGCTTGTCCTAGCCTTTTGCGAGCTGAGGCCCTGCTGGAGTCGCCAGAGATGCTATACGTGGTGCACCCTTATGTGCAGTTCTCCCTGCATGATGTGGTCACCTTCAGCCCTGCCAAGCTGACCAACAGCCAAGCCAAGGTGCTCTTCATTCTCTTCCGTGTGCTGAGGGCCATGGATGCCTGTCACCGCCAGGGACTAGCCTGCGGGGCCCTGTCTTTGCACCACATTGCTGTGGATGAGAAGCTTTGCAGCGAGCTCCGGCTGGACCTGAGTGCTTACGAGAAGCCCAAGGAGGATGAGAATGAGGAGACCCCTGTAACAAGGGACAGGGCAGGCATTGAGCCTGGAGAGGAAGGAGGAGGGGGACCTAGGTGTCCCACCTGCCAGGAGGAACTTAGGAGCCTTGTGCTAGACTGGGTCCATGGCCGCATCAGCAACTTCCACTACCTCATGCAGCTGAATCGTTTGGCGGGTCGGCGGCAGGGGGACCCCAACTACCATCCCGTGCTGCCCTGGGTGGTGGACTTCACCACGCCCCATGGGCGCTTCCGAGACCTGCGAAAATCCAAGTTCCGCCTCAACAAGGGGGATAAGCAGCTGGACTTCACGTATGAGATGACGCGGCAGGCGTTCGTGGCAGGTGGCGTGGGCGGCGGGGAGCCACCTCATGTTCCTCACCACATCTCAGACGTGCTCTCCGACATCACGTACTATGTATACAAGGCTCGGCGTACACCCCGGGCGGTGCTCTGTGGACATGTGCGGGCGCAATGGGAGCCCCATGAATATCCTGCCAGCATGGAGCGTATGCAGAACTGGACACCTGATGAGTGCATCCCTGAGTTCTACACTGATCCCTCTATCTTCTCCTCCATCCACCCTGACATGCCTGACCTGGATGTGCCGGCCTGGTGTGGCTCCAGCCAGGAGTTTGTGGCTGCCCACCGGGCACTGCTGGAGAGCCCCGAGGTGTCCCAGGACCTGCATCACTGGATCGACCTCACCTTTGGCTATAAACTCCAGGGCAAGGAGGCTGTGAAGGAGAAGAATGTGTGTCTGCACCTGGTGGATGCTCACACTCACCTGACCAGCTATGGCGTGGTGCAGCTCTTTGATCAGCCGCACCCCCAGCGCCTGGCTGGGGCTCCTGTCCTTGCCCCTGAGCCTCCACTCATCCCCAGGCTATTGTTCCAGACCATCCAGGAGAGCACAGGCCAGGAGGACTTCCCAGGCCAGCTTACAAATGGGGCTGGCAGGCTGGTTTTGGAGGCCACTCCCTGTGAGGCTGGCTGGGCCAGAGACAGGCCTCTGGCAGGAGAAGATGACTTGGAGCAGGCCACAGAAGCTCTGGATTCCATCTCCCTTGTTGGGAAAGCAGGTGACCAGCTGGGCCCCTCCTCCTCCTCCTCCAGTCAAGTGCCCCCAGCCCTCCTGTCTTTCTCAATGGCCTCGGCCTCTCGACCAGGCCGCAGGAACAAAGCTGCTGGGGTGGACCCTGGGGAAGGTGAAGAGGGGAAGATTCTTCTCCCAGAGGGCTTCAATCCTGTGCAGGCTCTAGAAGAGCTGGAGAAACTAGGCAACTTCCTGACCAAAGGCCTAGGGGGCCGGTTGGAGGTGCCTGAGCAGCCCCAGGTCCAGCCACCCGTGCAGCTGCGGGACCTCTTCCATCGGGACATGCAGGCGCTGGGTATCCTCTTGGCTGAGATGGTTTTTGCCACCAGGGTCCGAACAGTGCAGCCTGACGCGCCTTTGTGGGTACGCTTCGAGGCTGTTCGGGGACTCTGCACACGCCATTCCAAGGAGGTCCCTGTGTCTCTGCAGCCTGTGCTGGACATTCTCCTGCAGCTGAGTGGATCGGAAGGCCCCGTGGTAGCAGGGAGGGGCACACTGGACCCATTGTTTGAGTACAGGCCCGTCTCCCAGGGCTTGCCCCCGCCCTGCCCGGCCCAGCTCCTCAGCCCCTTCAGCTCCATGGTTCCCTTCCCTCCGTACTTCCCGGCGCTGCACAAGTTCATCCTCTTGTACCAGGCGAGGTGCGTGGAGGACGAGGCCCAGGGACGGGAGCTGGTCTTTGCTCTATGGCAGCAATTGGGTGCAGTGCTGAGTGACATCACCCCCGAGGGCCTGGAGATCCTGCTGCCCTTCGTGCTGTCACTCATGTCCGAGGAGCACACGGCCGTGTATACGGCCTGGTACCTATTTGAACCTGTTGCCAAAGCACTGGGCCCCAAAAATACTAATAAGTACCTACTGAAGCCTCTCATTGGTGCCTACGAGAGCCCCTGCCGACTACATGGCCGCTTCTACTTGTACACGGACTGCTTTGTGGCCCAGCTGATGGTGCGGCTGGGCCTGCAGGCCTTTCTCGTCCACCTGCTGCCCCATGTCCTGCAGGTGCTGGCTGGTGCAGAGGCCTCCCAGGAGGAAAGTAAGGGCCTGGCTGGGGCTGCCGAGGATGAGGAAAGCGGGCTCCCAGGGGCCAGGGCCAGCTCCTGTGCCTTTGGGGAGGAGATTCAGATGGATGGGGAGCCTGCTGCCTCCTCGGGCCTGGGGCTCCCAGACTACACGTCTGGCGTCAGCTTCCATGACCAGGCCGACCTCCCCGAGACAGAGGACTTCCAAGCTGGGCTCTATGTGGCTGAGTCCCCACAGCCCCAGGAGGCTGAGGCTGTGAGCCTGGGCCGGCTGAGCGACAAGAGCAGCACCAGTGAGGCCTCCCTGGGCGAGGAGCGGGCTGATGAGGGGAGCGCCCCTGTGGACAAGAGCAGCCTCAAGTCAGGCGACAGCAGCCAGGACTTGAAGCAAAGCGAGGGCTCAGAGGAGGAAGAGGAGGAGGAGGAAGGCTGTGTGGTGTTGGAGGAGGAGGAGGGGGAGGGGGAGCAAGACGAGGTCACCAGGGCATCTGAGCTCACTCTCTCTGAGACGGTGCTGTCCATGGATACTGTTGTGGCCGGTGGTGGCGGGGCAGACGGGGAGGAAGAGGAGGAGCCGCTGACCGAGCAGTCGGAGGGCAAGGAACAGAAGATCCTTCTTGGTGAGTTCTCGGGCCTGGAGGTGTTGCTCAAACAGTCATCTGGTTTCACTCAACATTTGCTGAGCACCTCCTCTGTGCCAAGCAGTGGATGCAGCAGATCCACACGCAGTGCAGATGTGGGCCTGCCCTCCTGGAGCTCATGTCTAGCCGAGGAGATGCCATGTTGTAGACAATCTGATGTGAGCTTAAGTTATGTTAGAACATGGCCCAGTGCTGAAAGGGAATATAAAGTGGGGCTGAGGTCTAGTTCTCAGGGGTCAGAGAAGGCTTCCTTGGAAGTAGGGCCAGTTGAGGTTCAATGAGTAGGAGGAAGCGAGACAAAAATGGCAGGATCTGCAGTGAGAAAAGCATTCCAGGCAGAGGGAACAGCATGTGTGAGGCTCTGAGGCTGTCATGGTTCCATTAAAGAGTCAGTTAAAGGCCAGTGTAGTTAGACTGGGAAAGTGGAGGGAATTGGAGGGAGCAGAGGTCAGAGGGGGAGGTAGCCAGGGTCTGGCCAGGGTCTCATTTAGGAGCTGGGGAAGATTCACTGAAAGGGTCACCTTCCTGCAAGTCGTGCCCGAGGAGAGGAGCCTGGAGCAGCCCCAGGGCCGGAGTCCCACAGGCTACCTCTGCTGCTGCCAAATGGAGGGTGGTGGTGTGGGGCGACCAGGCTTAGGCTGGGTACCTTGGCAGAGTTGTGCCCAGAGTTGGCTAGGTGGGGTACTGTGGGGTGGGGTGGGAGGAGTGGTGAGCCACTGTTATCTGATGAGCTCAGGGTCTGCCCCCACCCTGCAGATACGGCCTGCAAGATGGTCCGCTGGCTGTCTGCCAAGCTCGGCCCCACAGTGGCCTCTCGCCACGTGGCCCGGAACCTGCTCCGCCTGCTGACATCGTGTTATGTTGGTAAGGTGCTAGAGCCGGGCTTCCCCCAGGCCCTCTGCCCATCTCCAGCACCCTCTAGGGGATCCTTCCCACTCCCACCCCAGACCACCTCCTGGCCAGGTCCTAGGTCTCAGTCTGTAAGCTCCTTCCTTCTTTGGTTAGGGCATGGGGCAGACCCGGGGCTAGAGTGAGCAGGAGCGGCTACCACAGTTCCTGGAAGGCCGACCTCCCTCCTGCCCTCCACTATACTCAAGGCTGCTGGTTCTTTCTTGGCAGGGCCCACTCGGCAGCAGTTCACAGTGAGCAGTGGCGAGAGCCCCCCGCTGAGTGCCGGCAACATCTACCAGAGGAAACCAGTACTGGGCGATATAGTGTCAGGGCCTGTGCTCAGTTGCCTCCTCCACATCGCCCATCTGTACGGGGAGCCCGTCCTCACCTACCAGTACCTGCCCTACATCAGCTACCTGGTCAGTCACAGACTTGGTAGGCCTGGGGGGAGCCTGAGGGCTGACCCGAGATCTCTGGAGGTTCCAGGGGGTCTATGGGGCAGCCTGGCCCTCATCTACTCTGTGGCCCTAGGTGGCCCCCGGTAGCACCTCAGGCCCCAGTCGACTGAACAGCCGTAAGGAGGCGGGCCTGCTGGCAGCGGTGACGCTAACCCAGAAGATCATCGTGTACCTCTCAGACACCACCCTCATGGACATCCTGCCCCGGATCAGCCACGAGGTCTTGCTGCCTGTGCTCAGCTTCCTTACTTCACTTGTCACGGGGTAGGTCCCTGCCCTACCCCGTGGTGGGGAGCAGCCCAGCTGAGGGGGCTCCCGGGGGGAGGAAGGGGGGGTTGGGAAGCTTTGGGGAGAGTCCAATGACACTGGACTGGCTGTCAAGAGTCCTGGTTCTGATCCCAGCTGTGTGACCCTGAGCAAGCCACACCTTTCTGTGCCTCAGTTTCTCCATCTGGTTTGGACCAGTTGGTCTTGTAGCTCCTTTCATTTAAAGGTTCTGATAGATTCTGGGCAAGTTCCGCAGAGTTGGGGGCTAGAGCTCACGAGCTCTGTTTCCAGGTTCCCAAGTGGAGCCCAGGCCCGGACTGTTTTGTGTGTGAAAACCATCAGCCTCATCGCTCTCATCTGCCTGCGTATCGGACAGGAGATGGTCCAGCAGCACCTGAGCGAGCCCGTGGCCACCTTCTTTCAAGTCTTCTCTCAGCTGCACGAGCTTCGGCACCTGGTGGGCAGACCTGCCTAGCTGGGGTGGGCTGGGCAGGGGCCCTGGACTCGGCTGACTCCCTGGGCTTCCTGCCCACAGGATCTGAAGCTGGATCCTGTGGGCCGCAGTGAGGGCCAGCTGCCAGAGGTGGCCTTCTCTGATGGGCAGCAGCGGCTGGTGGACCCCAACCTGCTGGACGAGCTGCAGAAGGTGTTCACCTTGGAGATGGCATACACAATCTACGTGCCCTTCTCCTGCCTGTTGGGTACTGCCCCACCCCGTTCCCTCACACAGCCTCTGTGACCATGGCTGTTCATCTGGGAGGGCCCCACTCTCTCCCTGCCCCCAGGGTCAGTAGTGGGTGTTAAGCACAGTCTTCTGGGTCAGAGCAAAAGGATTTGGCCTCAGACCCCAAGTCCCAAGGTGACATATAAACAGGGACTGAGCATTGGCCAGCAGGGAGGCACAGGAGTGCCCTAGCGTGTCCGCGGGTGAGTCTCTAGGAGCTATCCAAGAGGAATGAGCGGCTCACCGTTTACATAGCTTCTTGTCCAGGCCAGGCACTGTGCTGAGTGTTGACGTGTATCATCTGAGTAGGATGAACAGCCTGTGGTCAGATGTGTTTCATCCCTCCACTGAATCTAAGCTCTGAGAAGGAGAGCATGACCTGTCTTGTTTCTGTTGTCCAGCATGGCACCCAGCACATAAAGATGCTCATTAATGAATTAATCCATGTTTTACTGGGGAGGAAACTGAGGCTCAGAGATGAAGAGTTACTTGCTCAGAGTTGCACAGCCAGTGCCTGCCCTGTCTTCTGTGGTTCCTAAGCCCTTGGGTGGGTGGTGGCAGCCACCTGCCTTCTTCCCTAGTCTTAGGACCTCTTCTGCTCCCATCCAGGTGACATCATCCGGAAAATCATCCCCAACCACGAGCTGGTGGGGGAGCTGGCGGGGCTGTATCTGAAGAGCATCAGCCCGAGCAGTCGCAGCCCTGCCAGCGTGGAGCCCACTGTGCCCAGCACCGGCCCCGAATGGGACTCCCAGGGTGGGGGCTTCCCCCAGGATGACGGCCACTCGGGGACCTTTGGGAGTGTCCTGGTCGGGAACCGCATCCAGATCCCTGACGACTCTCAGCCTGAGACCCCTGGCCCGCTGGGCCCCATCTCTGGGGTGGGCAGTGGGGGTCTCGGCAGCGAGAGCGAGGACAATGCGCTGAAGCGGGAGCTGCCGCGGAGTGCTCACGGGCTGAGCGGGAACTGGCTGGCGTACTGGCAGTACGAGATTGGCGTGAGCCAGCAGGATGCCCACTTTCACTTCCACCAGATCCGCTTGCAGAGCTTCCCGGGCCACTCGGGGGCTGTTAAGTGCGTGGCGCCCCTGAGCAGCGAGGACTTCTTCCTGAGTGGCAGCAAGGACCGCACTGTGCGCCTCTGGCCGCTCTATAACTCTGGGGACGGCACCAGTGAGACAGCCCCCCGCCTCATCTACGCCCAGCACCGCAAGAGTGTCTTCTTTGTGGGCCAGCTTGAGGCCCCTCAGTGTGTGGTGAGCTGTGACGGGGCTGTGCACATCTGGGACTCCTTCACAGGTGAGCTGGCCCAGGTGAGGCCTGTTTCTGTTGCTGCCATCTTGTACTCTGCCAGGCCTCTGGGAATGGGGCCCAAGGGTGGGATGGTTGGGGTGTAATGGTATGTGGTTGGGAGTGACCCAGTGAAGCCACACAGAGGAGCTCTTAGGACTCGGAATCCATTAGACCTGAGTTTGAATTGTCTCTGCTAGTTTACTTGCTGTGTGATGTTGAGCAAGTCACTTTGCTGCCAGAAGCATCAGTTTTCCCATCTGTAAAATGGGAATCAGAACAACTGATTTAGAAGATAATGCACATAGGGCCGGCCCCGTGGTGTAGCAGTTAAGTGCGTGAGCTCCGCTGCTGGCAGCCCGGGTTCGGATCCTGGGCGTGCACCGACGCACTGTTTGTCAGGCCATGCTGTGGTGGCGTCCCACATAAAGTGGAGGAAGATCGGCACGGATGTTAGCTCAGGGCTAATCTTCCTCAGCAAAAAGATGAAGATTGGCATAGATGTTAGCTCAGGGCTGATTTTCCTCACACACAAAAAAAAGATAATGCACATAGAGGTTTGGCTTAACGTGTAGCATGTAGTACATGTTTGGTAAATAGTTGCTCAATTATTTTTCCGTGTCATTGTAGGGAGAAACAAGGTTAAAAGCGGGGAGGGCATGGAGTAGCATTGAGGTAGACAGAGGGAAGCAGCTTCGGTCAGGGGATGCTATGTGAAGAGAGGAGGTTGCTTTGGGGATGGGAGCTTGGCCTGGCCATGGAAACAGGAAGGTGGGAGGGTCAAGAAACATCTTTGGCATTTTCTGAGCTCCTCTGGGATATGGGAGGCAGGTATGGGGTAGGTTGGAGGGATAGGAGGAGTCAGGGCTCTTCCATCAGCTGCTAGGACCTCAGACACACCGTGTCATTCCTTCCCAGGGAAGACCATTCGCACAGTGGAGCCATCAGACAGCCGGGTGCCCCTGACTGCCGTGGCTGTCATGCCTGCCCCCCACACCAGCATCACCATGGCCGGCTCTGACTCGACCCTGCGCTTTGTGGACTGCAGGAAGCCTGGCCTGCAGGTCAGGGGCGTCGGTTCCCTGAGCCCTAGTCAGGGTGCCTGGCAGGGAGGAGAGACCCTGAAGGCCAGGGCATAGTTTCTCTTTGCAGACGGATCACCCACAGCAGCAAATCTGGGGGTGTGGGACTCTGGCCTGTGATGCGGGGACAGAGGCTCAGGCTGTCAAGCTGTGTGGGCGTGCGGGGTGAGCAGGACCTTAGGGAGAAGCAGGTTGGAGTGGGTGGTGGTGCCTCATCTTGTCTCCCTCTGCCTGTAGCATGAGTTCCGCCTGGGTGGCGGGCTGAACCCTGGGCTTGTCCGCTCCCTGGCTGTTAGCCCCAGTGGCCGTAGCGTTGTGGCCGGCTTCTCCTCGGGCTTCATGGTGCTCCTGGACACCCGTACGGGCCTTGTTCTGCGTGGCTGGCCTGCCCACGAGGGGGACATCTTACAGATCAAGGTAACAGACCAGGTCCCGTTCCCTTCTAATCTCTGCTTAGGGTCCACCAGGACAGGCTCAAGCTGATGTCACTTACACCTGCCCAAGGACTGACGGGCAGGGAGAGTCAAGAGCCCGCTGCACTGTGGGGGGCCTCAGCAGGAGGCAGGCACAGGGGCGGGACCCAGGGGGCCGAGCTGACCCTGCTGTTCCCTGGAGATGTTCTAATGAGTAACCCTTGTCCATATTTGTCTTGCTTGGAGGATCAGGGGTCGGGCCCTGTCCGTGACCCAGTTCAGGTTAAATAAAGCTCAGCTGGGAGGCTGTTTACTGCCCCTAGACCACTGAGCAGAGTCCATGCCCACTGCTGGGCTGTCCTGGTGGGGGCAGGGGCAGACTGGGCGTGGGGCTCCTGCCCCCACCCCCGCCCCCTTCTCAATTACGGACCTCAGGGAACTGCTCAGGGAGGTACAGGAGGATAGGAACAGGGCTACTTGTGGGAGGGTTTTTCCAGGCAACTGGGACTCCCTCCTCATCCTAAGTTGAGGCCAGGGGATGTGCACTGCCACTGCTGGGGGCAAGCTGCCCCTGGCTCCCTCCAGGGCCCCCCAGGGGACCCTGGGCTCCAACTGTCCCTAAATGCTGACTTTCCAAGAAAGCATCAAGAGGGCTCTGGGGTCAGCCTGGGTGTTAATCCTGGCTCAGCCACTTACTGGCTCTGTGACCTTGGTATGATTACTTAACTTTTCTGAGCCTTAGTTTTTTTCTCCGTAAAATGAGAACAATGACAGCATCTGCCTCATAGAGTCCTTATGAAGATGAAATGTGGTAATAGGGCATGTGTAATGCCATGTCTGGACATAGTCAGTGCTCAGATTACAGTGATAACTAGGTTAACGACACTGATATAGTCATATTAACTCACGTTAATGTAACGTGGGAAGGTGGCAGCCTGTCCTCCGCTCAGGATGCCCTGTCTTCCTGGGAGATATTGTGGGAAGAAATGGGAAGACGCTGGGGTTTGGTGGGCACATGGGAGGGCACAGGCCCTGCTGAGGTTCTGTTCTCCCCGGGCAGGCGGTGGAGGGCAGCATCCTGGTCAGCTCTTCATCCGACCATTCCTTGACTGTCTGGAAGGAGCTGGAGCAGAAGCCCACACACCACTACAAGTCAGCCTCCGACCCTATCCATACCTTTGATCTGTATGGCAGCGAGGTGATCACCGGCACCGTGGCCAACAAGATCGGCGTCTGCTCCCTGCTTGAGCCGCCCTCCCAGGCCACCACGAAGCTCAGCTCTGAGAACTTCCGGGGCACGCTCACCAGCCTGGCCTTGCTGCCCACCAAACGCCACCTCCTGCTGGGCTCAGACAATGGGGTCATCCGCCTCCTGGCATAGGCTGAGGGTGGGGCTCGTCAGGCAGGGGTGGGCCGACATCCTCTAGGAGTCCATCCCATCAGCCTTGTTTGCCCAGCAGCTCCCTCCAGGCAAGCCTCAGACCCCATGCTCTGTGTACCCACATGGCCTGCAAGCTAGGGCTGGACAAGGGTCCAGGCTCTTGAACTCCTAGAGCCCCCAAGGCTGCCAGAGGATCTCCTTCATGGCTTGGGGAGATGCTGCTCCAAGCCAGTAGGAAGAAGAGGGAGAGTGTGGGAAAGCATCGCTGCCCTGTGTTCTCCCCACTCTGTCCTCGGGTCCACATGGGGACAGGGAAGCTCTGGGAAGGGTTAGGGAGACTGGCCCTGCCCAGCCAGTCTTCAGCCAAAGCCCCCCCTTGCTGGACTCTCTCTGCCCCTCTCTCACAAAGACAGGGATGCTGCCCCAGTCCAGGACACTGATGGTGCTTGGACTCCAGCCTCTAAGGAGGGCTGGCCGTGGTCTAGGAGTTAAGGGCCTGGGGCTGGGGTTTAAGTGTCCACCCAGTCAGACCCTGGCCAGTATGGGACCAGTAGGGGAAGAAAGAGGGCGGGACCAGGGGAGGGAAGATGGACTGGGCCAGCTGGTGCCTGCCCTCCCCTAACTACAGTGTTTGTGCCTTGAGCTGAGGAGGTAGCTCCTGGGCCCAGAACCCCTGGAGGGTGGAGTTCTAAGACCCTGAGAGAAGGGGCGAGAAGAATTATCTCTGCATCTCGCCCAGGGGACAGGAAGACCCAGGTGTCTCGGGTCCTCACCTTCTGGAGCAGAGATGAGCTCTGACGCTGGGCTCATGCTGCCTCCTCACTATTTGCAATAGATGTAAATATGACCAATAAATTCTTTGAAAGAGCCGTGGAACTGAGTGAGGCTTTTTTTTGACAATGGTGTCAGAGTGGGGAAAAGTCGAGACCCCCACAGCTTCCAGGGCAGTGAGGAGTAGGGCAGGAGGTGGGGAGGCAACCTGATCATTGCTCTTCAGGGTACAGGGCTTCTGGTTCATGCAGCCCCAGACCAGTTTCGAGTAAGGAGGATGCTGGGAGAGGCTGTGTCCCTCAGCATCTCTCCTCTCCCACCCCCTGCCTTCCAGACCCAGGCTGAAGGCAGGCAACCAGGATCCTGGGCATGTAATGGTTGGGATGGGCATCCTATCCTGGGTTCCCAGCAAAGGTTTTGCAGCTTCCCCTTCCCTCTCCTAGGGATGGGGTGGCAGTTGTAGGGAAAAGGAAAGGACATTGGAAATGGGAACCTGGATGTAATTCTGAGCCCAGCTCTGTATCCTTGGGCAGGTCACATAGCCCCTCTGAGCCTGACTAAAGGGATAACTCCCCACCTTGTGGGGTTGCTGGAAGGCCCCTGTCCTTTCTGGATCTGTCCTTCAGATGAGGACAGCCTCCTCAACTGTCTCCTGAACCTCCTTTCTCCAGGCTCAGGTGGGACCCAGATCCCTGGGGGCTCCAGGTGGCTGTCTCAGGATTAGATGCCCTGCTGGGAAAGGGGCTTCCAGCCCCAATATCAATGTTTAACCGGATGTGCAGGTCAATATTTACCAGAAGAGAAAGCAATCTGAACAGGGGTTGGCTGAGAGCAAAGGTCCCGGTGGGAGGGGAGGGCTCCACTGGGCTGGCTGGAGCCCGGGCAGAGAGAGGGGAGCACCCAAGTGGGGCCAGAGGGACATTGTGTGCAGCAGCGAGGAGCCTGCAGAGGTATGAGGGGAGGGGAGGGCCGGGCGTTCTGTTCCTTGAGCAGGAGAGGAGGTAGGAGCTGCCCTCCTGGCTGAGGGGATGGGGGCTGAATTTATTCAGGAGGCCTGTTGATTCCCAGCTTCCTGAGGTGATGAGGAGCCAAAGTAGGGGATCTGGGGGGGAGTCTCTCTGGGACTTGAAAAACTGGAGGCCTTTTCTTGCCAAGAAGATTCAAAAGCCCAGGTTGGAGATCAGGGCCCTTTGCCTGTGTGATGGGAGTGGGGCCAGGGGTGATATAAGGATCCTCCAGAGGGACTAGCCCTGAGATGGGGGCGGGGTGGGGGTGTGTGTGAGACCTGCTCCAAGGCCAGACCAAGACCTGCCCATCTCCACCCGCCAGCCTGGCTTCCCGGAGCCGGCCTGGGGCAGAGTTGGGGCAAGGCCTGCGTTTCCCGTAAGTCCAAAGGTGGTTCTGGCCAGAGTCATTCATTGGGCTGTGCTGCTGGTCAATGAGGCGGCTTTCCAGCACCCACCACCACCCTGCTGAGACCTCTGGGCCTCATAGTCCTGTCTACCCTTGTGGGCAAGACCAGACCAGCCAGAAAAGGTGGGCCGGCTGGACAGCAGGTTGGATAGGAGCTCTGGGGAGGGAGCCCTAGTACAGACGAGGCTTCAGGGCCGGCTTCCCAGAAGAGGGCCCTTGGGCTAGGCTGACAAGAGCTGTTACTGAGCGTCAAGCGTTGTGCTCAGGGCTCACCAAGACTGTCTTATTTCAGTCCTCACAATACACGTGGGAGGAGGTAAGGACTTTTGCCACCATTTTACAAGACACAGCGAAGCCCAGAGGGGTTAAGGGAGATGTCAAGGTCCTCTGGCAAGAGGCAGAGCCTGGATTCAAACCCAGGTCTGACTCACAATGCCAGGCCTTGAAGAATGAGGACATTTTTTGTTTTGATAATATTTTTCCCCTATGAACCAAAATATTCTCAGGGCATGAAATGTGAAAAACCAGGAAAACAAAGGGGGTTAAAAAACAAGTCGGGGGGACATCTGCCCCTCAGAGATGAGAAGCTTTGCTATGGTGTTTTAGGGCGGTGTGCTGTAGCTGGTGTTTTCCCCGCGGCGGTAGCGGCTCAGGACTCAGCCTGCCCGGGAACGTGTGGGTGGGATTCCACGCGGGTGTGGGGGCGAGGTGGGGGCGAGGTGGGAATGGAGGCTTCCGGTCCACAACAGGAACATGGCGCTGCTCCGGGGACTCCTGGTGCTCTGCTTGTCCTGCCTGCAAGGCCCCTGCTCTGCGGTGAGCCTGGCTGGGGTCTGGGTGGGGCGGGGAGGGGTGGGGAGAGGCCAGCGGTCTGAAGGGAGCAGGGTGGGGGGTCGTCCGAGGGAGGATTTAGCTCTGAGGGGGTCCCCCTCTTCTCCTCATCCCTCTCTCAACAGTTCTTTCCTGTGAGCGCCATGGAGCCCCTGGGCCAGCAGGTACTGGGGAGTGAGGGGCGTGTGCCTGGGAGGAAGGCCCCGAGGGGCCTCGCCTGTGGCTTGTGCAGGGTGGGGGACCTCTGGGAAGGGTCGCTCTCCATCTGCTTCCTCCTTTCTTCAGCTAATCAGCGGGATGTCGCAGGAGAAGCTCTCCCCGATAATCTTCCTCAAGTTGGGCAACCAGGTACAACCAGGTGGGGCTGGGGAAGAGTGGGCGGGGCCCGAGGGAGGAGGGCCAATCAGCAGGGGCGAGGGAACAGGGGGGCGTGGCCGTGAGGCTGAGGTCCGAAGGGGAGGGTGGGAGGGACCAGAGGAAGGGATCCAGTCCCCAGAATGCCCTTGCCCATAAGACTCTCCCTCTCCTGTCAGGACTGGCACCAGGCCCTGCTGCCCCCAGGCACAGGGGCTACGAAGGAAATCTTCAACACAGAACCTGGAGCTGACCCCTTGGCCCCACTGACCCCTGATCTGTCTCTGCAGGAGGCTGGTGGCCAGGTTGCCCTGAAGAAGGCCCCAGGAGACTGCAAGGCGGCCCCCACCCCAGAGCAGACCCGCAGGCTGGCCCAGGCCATGATGGCTTTCACCACAGACCTATTCTCCCTCGTTGCCCAAAGGTCCACCAGCCCCAACCTCATCCTGTCGCCTCTGAGTGTGGCCCTGGCACTGTCTCACCTGACACTGGGTACTGTGGCAGCATGTGTCCAGATCAGCAGAGCTGGGAGGCCAGTAGGAACTCACTACTACACCCTCCAGAGTTTACTAGTGGGTGGTTCCTCCATCAGGGTCACTTGGATGTTTGGTAAAAATGCAGATTCCTGGGCTCACCTCCAGTCCCTGTGAATCAGATTCTGAGGGATTGGGTCCAGGGATATGCTCCTGGTGATTTTTATGCGAGAGTTTGATAGCTACAATGTCTCCATTGGACTGGAGGGTCTCATTGTATGAAACTGAGGTCCAGAGAGAGAAGACAATTTCCGTGAGGTGAGGCCGCCCAGACGGTCAGCAGCAGAGGTGAAAGTAGGACTTGGGAGTCCTGTCGCTCAGACCAGTTCAGTGGATATGAGAGGAGAGTGTGTGGTCCTGCGGGCATGCTCACTGTGGGTATTCAAGAGGGACTGGAGTGGGCAGTGGGGGTGGGAAAGAACCCCAGCCTGGCCACAGCCAATGTGGTCCCTTCCAGGTGCTCAGAACCAAACGCTGCAGAGGTTGCTGCAGGTGCTACATACAGACTCAGGGCCCTGCCTCCCCCACCTGCTGAGCCGCCTCAGCAGGGACCTGGGCCCTAGGGCATTCCAATTGGCTGCCAGAATGTACCTGCAGAAAGGTAGGTGCTGGTGGTAGGGAGCTCCCTAGGTAGTGCCCTGGGGTCGACAGGGGTGAGGGAGGTGGGTTTGGCCTCAGGGAGCCAGTCAGATCGTTGGTGGCTGTGGAGCCTGCGCCCTGGGAATAGCTTGTGGCCCCTTCTGTGTAGGATTTCCCATCAAAGAGGACTTCCTGGAACAATCGGAGCAGCTCTTTGGCGCAAAGCCCATGAGCCTGACGGGAAGTAAAGAGGATGACCTGGCAAACATCAACCAATGGGTGAAGGAGGCCACGGAGGGGAAGATTGAGAATTTCCTCTCGGAGCTGCCAGATGATACAGTGTTGCTTCTTCTCAATGCCATCCACTTTCAGGGTGCGCTCCTCCTCTTCGTAGGTGCCCCGCCCTGGCAGCCCCTACCCCTAGCCTGTAGGCTGAGCTGGGCTGTACAGGCTTTGTTATGAGGGTCCCTCTTCCTCCTCAGGGCTGGGCCAGGATGCAGGGAGCCCTCTGGGTTGTGGCTTGGGGGAGGGTAATGGTGTGTCAGAGAGGGGCCCCAGGAACTGGATGGGTCCGTTGTGGAGGGAGGACCCTGGGAGAGACGAAGTCTGAAAAGACCCAGGGGGAGGTTCCTGGGAGCATGGCAGGGCATGGGGAGAATGCAAGCCCAGATTTCCAAAACCCTACAGGGAAAGGACCTCAGGTCAACTGGGTATCAACTGGCACAGCACCCCCAGGGGTCTTGACCTCCACCTTTCATCTCTTGAATGGGTTCTGGGTGGGATGGGGAAGAGGCTGGTGGTAGAGAACCCGTCCTGGTCCCAGTCTATGTGGCCTCTGCCTTCTGCTCGATGCAGGTTTCTGGAGGAACAAGTTTGACCCAAGCCTCACCCAGAGAGACACTTTCCACCTGGACGAGCAGTTCACGGTGCCGGTGGACATGATGCAAGCCCGCACGTACCCTCTGCGCTGGTTCTTGCTGGAGCAGCCTGAGATACAGGTCACCCTTGATTGCCCAGGCCGGGCCTGGGTGCTGGGAGGTGGGAAGGGAGTCGGCAGGCTGTGGAGCAGGCACGGGGATGGGTAGCTGTGCCCCACCTTCCTTGCAGTCATGTCCCTGGGGCAGGAGGCTCTGAAAGGTCTCACTATGCCCCACCCAGGAGGACTGAGGCTCCAGGCTGTTAAAGGTTCATTCATTCAACAAAACTATATTGGGATTTGCTATGGGCAAGATACTGTTCTAAGCACTGGGGATTTAGTGGAGCACAGGGAGACCAGACCCCTGCTCTCAGGAGGGAAGATGCACAGTACATGAGCAAACATGAATCAGCAGGATAATTTCAGATGGTGGTAAGTGCTGCAAAAGAAAAAAAAAAAAAAATGCAGTCTATTAGTGACCGGGGAAGATGTTTTAGACAGAGTGGTCAGAGGGCATTCTTTGAGGAGGGGACATTGAGTTGAGACTCACAAGATCTTTGGTTATGGGGGCTTATTACAAGGACCCGTGGGTTGTGGGGCAGCAGAGGGAGCAGCCCAGCAGCCATGGAGCCACTCAGGGCCTAAGTCCCCCTAAGCCTGGGAGATGCCACCTGAGCTCTCACGCAGTGCTCCTTAGAAGGGAGGATCTAATGGGGGATGGATTTGTCAGCATCCTGATGGGACATTCTGATTGGGTAGAGTGCTATGCGAAGTTATCTTAGGTGTGGCCTCCCTTGCTTTAGCCTCTATGTGGTCCCCTTGGCTTGGGCACTGATCCCTGGGCCAGTCAGCTGAGATGGCAGTGTTCGTTTTTTTCACAAGGCCAGCATGACACAGACCACAGCCACTTCTGCAGCCCCCTCTGAGAGGGGCTGTGGGTGAGGCAGGCCCTTGGAACAGCAGCCCAGTCTCTCTGCAGTTCACCCTGAATGGAGGACGGTCTGGTTCACCTCCCCACCAGTTTTCTTCCTGCTGCTCCTTCCCTTCAGGTTGTGTCCTGCCCACTCTTTGTTCACCCTTTTGTCTCCATTCCTTGTCCTTCTTGGCCTTCCTCTTCCCTAGACACTCTGCAGGCGGGCCCAGGCAGCCAGACACTGGCCCTCCTCCTCCCACCCGCAGAGGTCCTGCCGCCTGGGCGCTCTGCCCAGAGCCCGAGGAGTCACAGCTGCAAGAGACCATGGGGCCCAGGGGTTTTCACACTTCTTTAGCTGCAGAAACCTCATTCACATGAAATCTCACCCCAAATCACAGTATATATACACAGCTGGGCAAAGTCGCTGTTGAAGCTGAGAGGGGTGTAGAGAGGACCACCCTTTGCAGCGGCTCCTCCACAAACCTAGGGCAGTTTGAAAACCAACAACCCAGTCCATTGAACACGTGGAGACACTGAGAAAGCGAACACACGGGATTCCTCACCCAAGTCACAGGGCTGGCTGGTAGCAGATGAAGAGAGAGAAAAACACCATCTATTGAGCACCGCCTACGTGAGACATTCTGCTAGAAGCTTTAAAAGCGTATCTCTTTCAGTCACATGTCACCCTGCAGTGTGGGCAGGTAGTGTTACTCCACTTCACAGATGAGGAAGTGGGGGCTCAGGGAGGCCGAGCTCGCACTTGAGAAGGATGGACAAGAGCCCAGGTCCATCTGTCCCAGAAGCGCATGCTGGTCCGAACTCCTCCTCGGTCTGGGTGCTTTCTGGTCCTCATGTTGTCTTCTTCCCTTGTCTGTAGGTGGCTCATTTCCCCTTTAAGAACAACATGAGCTTCGTGGTCATTGTGCCCTCCCACTTTAAGTGGAACGTGTCCGAGGTGCTGGCCAACCTGAGCTGGGACATCCTGCACCAGCCCTTGCTGCGGGAGAGGCCCACCAAGGTCCAGCTGCCTAAGCTGCATCTGAAATGCCAGCTAGACCTGGTGGGCACTCTCAGACAGCTGGGTAAGGAGGCTGGGCAGGGGACAGCCGCCGACGTCATGCTGGGCAGGGTGGGTGAGGAGGAAGCCCCCAGCTGGCAGCAGGTCTGAGTCAGAGCTAGCCTTGTGTCCTGGCCTTTTCTGGGGCTTAGGGAGGTGAGAGGGTTTGATACGAGCACCTGGACCCTCTGTCCTGGGGTGGGCTGGGGCGGCCTAGGCAACCTGTGGGGCAGAAGGCAGCTCTGACCAGTCATCTCCTGCCCTGGGCAGGCCTGCAGGAGCTGTTCCAGGCCCCAGACCTGCGTGGGATCTCTGACCAGAGACTGGTGGTGTCCAGCGTGCAGCACCAGTCCACTCTGGAGATCAGCGAGGCTGGCGTGGAGGCGGCTGCGGCAACCAGTGTGGCCATGTCCCGCATGTCCCTCTCCTCCTTCATCGTGAACCGCCCCTTCCTCTTCTTCATCCTCGAGGACACCACAAGCCTGCCCCTCTTTGTGGGCAGCGTGAGGAACCCCAACCCTGGTGCGCAGCAGGAGCGCAAGGAGCAGCAGGACTCTCCGGACATCAGGGACTTCTTCCAGAACCTGAAAGCCTTTCCCCGTGGAGACAAGCCCTTTGGCCCTGACTTGAAACTTGAGCCTCCCTCGGAGGAGGAGGATTATCCCCAATTTAACAACCCCAAATGAGGGGCCGTGGCTGCCAGCATCCTGAGTCCCTGCCAGGGCCAGCCTCTCAACTGATGTGACTCTATCCAAACAGCTTCGTGGGATTAGGGGCGGGGGCCTACGTGGGCAGTCTGGGAGAGGAGAGGAGCCATTCTCTCCCATCTCCTGTTGGGGAGTTTGGGGTAGGGTGGGGCCGGGAGGAGGGCAGGCATCAGGGAATTGTGGGCCTTGATCCCACATCATTTCTTCCAAAGGGGCTCAAAGGTTGTCCTTGTTGGGGCTTGGGCAGAGGGGTGGCTATGGATTCACTTTTGTCAGGAAGGTAGGTAGGTTGTTCCCTAAGTCGGCTGGGGCAACTCCACATTTGTTTACCAGAGAGGGAGGGACAGGGGGGATTGGATACCCTGCCTGGGAGAGGAGAGACAGGCCCTGGGGGTGGCCCTGGGGGCTGAGCTCTGTCCTGGGTTAGACACTGTGGGTCAGCCTTGTCCTTCTCTGTGGATGGAGGCCGAGCATCCCACATACCTGCCTCTGCCATGACCTGCCCAAGGCCCACCAGCCTCCAGCCCACCCTGATGCCCTGTCACCTCCATCTCCCCACTGGTCCTTGGAGGTACCAACACTGCCAGGACTCCCCTTCCTTCCTTTCTCCTCTTTCTCCTCTGCCCTTGTCTCAGGGGCTGAGGCGGGGTGGTGGGGGAGGCCGTTAGCTTCCTAAGGCTCTTTTGTAAAGTTTTTGTAGTGATTTTTATGTCACCTGAATAAAGAATGAATGGGCCTGGCTGCTTTGATGTCACTGTTCTGGGCATGGGTGGGAGCAGGGGGGCTGGAGAGAGGTGAGGAGGAGGCCACAGAGCAGACTGCCCTGAGAACCAGGCTGGGCCCTGAAGGAGCAGCCATCCTCCCTGTGCCACGTTTGGTCTCTGGCCACTCACCAGCCCTTCTCCACCGTGCCGTCCCCTCTGACCTTGGCAGGCCTTTCCAGGGCCACCTCCACACCAGCCTGGCTCTGTTCTCAGCCTGTTCCTCTTTACAGGCCTCAGGCAGTCAGCAATAAGGGCGGCTCAGAATAGCGCCAGCCTCTCGGTTTGGGAGAAGAACTGGCAATTAGGGAGCTTGGGGAGTTTCTAATTACATGCTGGCCCCCCTGCGAGGAGCTGGCGCCCGCCAGCCGGCGGGCAGGCTGCGGGGAGCACTCGGCTCAGCTCTGGCTGGAGGCTGTCAGTGCCCGAGGACTTGGGGGCAACGGTTGGGGGCACCTTGGCACAGGGCTGGGGCAGCACGGGTGTCCATGTTGGGGGGCCCTTGTCTGTGAGTGCAGGGTGTCCGTGAGGCAGCAGCCACCTGCAGCCCTGAAATGCAGTGGTTAAGAGCAGGTGCCCGGGGTGGCATCTTGCTTCATACAAACTAGCAGTGGGGGGAGAGAGGTAATAAATAAACAAGTGAAATATGTGGTGTGTCAGAGGGCCATAAGAGCTATGGTGAGAAATAAAGCAGGGAAGGGGGACAGGGAGTGCTGTGAGGGATGGCCTCCCAGAGAAGGTGACACTGGAGCAGAGACTTGACAGAGGTGAGGGTGGGCACCATGGAAACTTCGAGGAAGAGCATCTTGGGCAGAGGAATAGCAAGTGCCAAGTTCCTGAGGTGGGAGAGTGCTCGGAAGGTTCAGGACGAGTTCAGGATGAGCAGGAGATCCGTGGGGCTGGAGTGGAGGGAGTGAAGGGGAGGAGTAGGAAGGAGTCAGAGACAGTCACGTAGGGCTTTAGGGCCACTGTAAAGACCATGGTTTTTATCTCAGAAGAGGTAAGAAGTCATTGGAAAGTTAAATCAGCAAGGCCACCGGCTTAATTTTACCTCCTGAGCCTTCCTCCTCTCCATTTCTGCGCCAGTCATGGTTTGGATCTACTCATCACTCCTGAAGGTCACTGCCGTTGCCTCCTCGGTCCTCCCTGCTATTGGTCTGGCCACCTTAACTGTATCCTCCACCCTGCAAATCCTTATCAAGCACTTCCCATGTGCCCAGCAGAGCACCAAGCTCTGGGGATGCAGCAATGAACACGCAGACAAGATCTCCACCCTCCAGAGCCTAAATCTGGTCGTGGAGTGGTCTAGACGATAAACAAGTTAAAATTTTGTGTTGAAATATAGTATGCAGGGGGCCGGCCCCGTGGCTTGGTGGTTAAGTGCGCACGCTGTGATGCTGGTGGCCCGGGTTCGGATCCCGGGTGCGCATCGAGGCACCACTTCTCCGTTCATCCTGAGGCCGAGTCCCGCATACAGCAACTAGAAGGATGTGCAGCTACGACATACAACTATCCACTGGGGCTTTGGGGGGAAAAAAAAAAAAAAAAAAAAAAAAAGAAATACAGTATGCAGGGCCGGCCCCGTGGCATAGCGGTTTAGTGCATGTGCTCTGCTGCTGGCGGCCCGGGTTCGGATCCCGGGCGCGCACCGACGCACCGCTTCTCCGGCCATGCTGAGGCCGCATCCCACATACAGCAACTAGAAGGATGTGCAGCTATGACATACAACTATCTACTGGGGCTTTGGGGGGAAAAATAAATAAATAAAATTAAAAAAAAAAGAAATATAGTATGCAAAGTACACAAGTCATAACTGTACATAAGCTTAACAAATTTTTTTCACCAACTAAGTACCCCTATGCAACCAGCACCCAGATCAAGAAACAGGACTCATTCTCCTGACTTCTAATAACAAATTTGTTTTTCCTGGTTTTGAAGTTTCTATAAAGGAGTCACACAGTCCGTGCTCTCCTGAGTCTGTCCGCTTTCGTTCACCCTCATGTTTGTGAGATTCATCTGTGTTGTTGTGGATGGCGATAACTTATTCACGGCAGAAGGCTTTTAATTGAGGGGTGCCACGGTCTGACTTGAGCTCTAGAAGGCTCACTGGGCTGCTGTGTGGAGAACAGAATATAGAGGGACAAACGCAGGAGCAGGGAGACTGGTTAGCAGGCAAAAGATGTAGGTGGCTTGGCCCAGGGTGCTGGCTGCAGAAATAAAGGAAAGTGCTCAGAATTCAGATATATTTTGTAGACGTTTTAGAATTAGGTAGACTGGGGCCGGCCCCGTGGCTTAGCGGTTAAGTGCGCGCTCTGCTGCTGGCGGCCCAGGTTCGGATCCCGGGCAGGCACCGACGCACCACTTCTCCAGCCATGCTGAGGCCGAGTCCCACATACAGCAACTAGAAGGATGTGCAGCTATGACATACAACTATCTACTGGGGCTTTGGGGGAAAAATAAATAAATAAATAAAATTAGAATTAGGTAGACTGTATAGGAGATGAGGGAAAGGCTCAAAGATGGTGGGTTCATCGTTCAAATTTCTGGATTTTTGTCTTGAGAAAATGGGTTTTACTGAGATGGGAATCAGAGAGAGACAGATTTTAGGATCAATTGGAGATTTTGGAATGTGTTATGACTGAAGTGCCGCACTAACACAGAGGGACCATATGTCCCAATCTGCCTGGAGAGTTCAAGTTACGTCTGTGGTTCCAGCTTAATAGCACCTGCCTTTGCTCTGCGAAGTGTTTGGATGATAAATTATATGTTCATCCTACCCACTGGGCATCCATGTGGATATGTCATATAGGCAACTGGATATCTTGGTGAGGGCTGGAAGTGTGTATTTGGGAGCATACAGACGCATTTAAAGTCCTGGAACTGGCAGAAATCGCCTAAGAGGAGATGGAGATGGAGAAGAAAAGGAGTCCCAGGATCAAGCCAGAAAAGGAGACGAAAAAGATCAGCATGTGAGGTGGGATTGAAACGGGAGGACGTGGAGAGTCAGGGTTTCAAAAAGGAGGAAGTCTGCTCTGCTGCCTCCTGCCAAGGGCAGAGATGTCCATTTGCTGGTCAACACAGAGGTCACCTGTGAACTTCACAATGGCAGTTTCAAAGGAGAGGTGGGCACAGAAGCAAGTTTGGGGTTGAGGAGAGAAGGGAGCTAAGACAGTGCAGACACAGGAGTACATAGCTCTTCCCGCACAGCTGTGAGGGAGAACGGAGGAATGGGCGTAGATTTAGGCGAGGTGGCATAAAGGAAGTGTCTTTAAAGAGGGGAGTGATAGAGGCTGTTTGAAGGCTGTGGAATGATCCTTGGAGAGGGGTATACTGATTATGCAGGAGAGGGGCTGCCTGCAGGAGCAAAGTCCTTGAGGAGCACCAGTGGAGGCCCTCTCCTTTGACAGGAGCAGGACACATTCCTTTCACAGTAATTGGAGGAAAGAGAAATCATCTTTCTTTATAAGTTGTTGTGAAATAATTAGGACGTACAAAAAGGTATAATGAATTGCATAATGCCACTGCCCAGCTTAAAAAATATTCTCACTATAGTGGCAGCCCTACATTCCCTTTCCAGTCCTTCCCCTGCCCCATAACCAACATCCTGAATTTGGTTTTTATTATTTTCATGTGTTTCTTTTACTTTCACCACGTGAATTTTTATCCATAAGTGGTACTTAGTACTGTGTGTTTTTAAGCCTTACATAAATGTATCATCCTGTTCGTATTCTCCTGCAACTTGTATCCCTCCACATTGTGAGATAAATCTGTGTCGATGTAAGTGGCTTCCCTGCATTATTTCTCATGGCTGTAGACTCTTCCACCCTTTATCTAGTCTCCTGTTGACGGATGTGCAGGGAGCTTCCATTTTTCTTCCACTACAAACAGTGCTGCTATGGCCGGCCCTGTGGCTTAGCGGTTAAGTGCGCGCGCTCTGCTACTGGCAGCCCGGGTTCGGATCCTGGGCGTGCACTGACGCACCACTTCTCCGGCCATGCTGAGGCTGCGTCCCACATATAGCAACTAGAAGGATGTGCAGCTATGACATACAGCTATCTACTGGGCCTTTGGGGGAAAAAAGGAGGAGGATTAGCAATAGATGTTAGCTCAGGGCCGGTCTTCCTCAGCAAAAAGAGGAGGATTGGCACGGATGTTAGCTCAGAGCTGATCTTCCTTACAAAAAAAGATTGGTAAACCCAAACCCCCAACTCAGCAATTCTACTCCTAAGCATGTGAGCTGAAAAGACTCCATATATGTACACAAGGAAGTATGGGCAGGAATGTTATAGCAGCACTGTTTTTTTTTGTGAGGAAGATCAGCCCTGAGCTAACATCCATGCTAATCCTCCTCTTTTTGCTGAGGAAGACCAGCTCTGAGCTAACATCTATTGCCAATCCTCCTCCTTTTTTTTTTTCCCAAAAGCCCCAGTAGATAGTTGTATGTCATAGTTGTACATCCTTCTAGTTGCTGTATGTGGGATGCGGCCTCAGCATGGCCGGAGAAACGGTGCATCGGTTCGCGCCCAGGATCCGAACCCGGGCCACCGGTAGCGGAACGTGTGCACTTAACCACTAAGCCACGGGGCCGGCCCCTATGAGTCTTTTATAATTTGTGTTTCTTTTGGGGGTCTTGTCTAAAAAAATCTTTCCTATTCAGAGATCACAAAGGGATCCATCTGTACTTTTTTCCTAAAATATTTACAATTTTCCCTGTTGTATATGTGTGTTTGTATTTGCTTTTTAAAGCATTAAAAATATCTCTGAAAGGATATATAGGAAATTAACATCAGCATAGAGATTAACATCAGCTGTCTCCAGGGAGTAGAATCAGGTGACTGGAGATGAGAGCAAGAGGAAGACTTTTCACTGTATACCTTTTGTTGCTTTTGAATTTTGAACCATGTGAACAAAACACCTATACAAAAATAAGTACACAATTTAAATAAAAAGCCATTTAAAAAGGTTTTGCAAAAACAGACA